CATAGCATTTTCAAAGTACCCCAAATCAATTTCGACGCAGAAGATAATAGAGATCTCATAGACTGGATGGATAGTAATCTAACAGAGCCTCCTCTAATGCAGCGGCCGTTTGACAGACGGGGAATACTGAGAGATGGTAAAACAAATTCCAAATTTTTTTAATATTTCTTCCCATACTCAAGCGGTGGAGATGGTAGAGATGGTTACATACGAGCTAAACTTAATGCCAGAAAGAATTTGCCGATATTTGAAAGTAATTGTCAATACTATGCTTCAAGAAGTGGCCAAGTGAAAATGTTGAGCAAAGGAGGGTGGGTGATTGTTATTCGCCATGCAGCTAATTCCTCCTGGTTAGTTTTGGGTTGAATGAATATACAGAATAATGTTAAATATTTAAACAATATCTCAATGTAAAGAGCTTTTCGTGCTGAATATTGATTTAAACAAAGATTTGCACAGTTAACTCCACATAAATAGTAAGTGTGCATTTTTTAAAACACTGTTTTATATTTTTAGCCCTGGAAGTCGTTTAATTTTTTTTAGATTATGATAAAATTTTTTAACGAGATAATAGCATCGATATTATTATTTAAAACACTAAAAGTATAGCGAAAAGAAAAAAAAAATTTAGGCCCCAGGGCCTGGTCAAAAATAATTTATTTGTATTCGTAATCATCCTATGTTTAGTACACAACATTAGAAAGGCCATATACAACTTTTTTTATTAGTCCGTTTAAGGTTAAAAAAAGTGTTTTGAATTTTTTGGCCCAGCCTAATCTACATGTTGGTTGTAGAACCAATTTTAACGTACGTATCTAAATGTTAACACTGCCTGTGGTATTTGCGGGGTAGATTGAGTAGCTCTGCGGTTACCACAGCCGATCCTAAGCTCGGATAAAAGAGAGGGTGATTGGCAAAGTTAGCAACCTACCAATCGTAAAAAATAAAAACTGCTCAAAGAAACAATGTATGGCCTCGGAACCGGATTGATACTATGAAGATGACTACAGCAAAAAACAAGGACAAGCGAAAAACATCCAAAACCCAAATGAGAATCATTACTTAGAATATCAGATCACTCAGCTTAAGACCAAGAAATAACCCAAGTTCTGAAAGAGAAATAAATAGACATTTGTGTTCTAGAGGAAACAAAAAAGAAAGAAAAAGGTCATTTAAAATTAGGTGAATTCATACTAATCTATAGTGGAGAATCCAAATAAACCTTGGCCAAAGAAGGTGCATCCTTACTAATACACCAAATGCACCAAAATCACATCAAAGAGTTTCAATACATACCAGAAAGAATAATAACAGCAAAGATAAGAATGGAGAAGGAATACCCGAACATCATCGGAGTATAATCATACGGCCCAGAAAATAACAAGCCTCAAACAAGGGAAGCCTCGAATAGCCAATAAAGTAATACCCGGCATTAAACAAAAGCATAACGAGAATGTTAAGAACAAAAATGGAGAACTGATGATCAACTTCTGCACGAATAACGCACTAAGAATAAACAACACATTTTTTGACCACAAAGACCAACACAAATATACATTTAATAACACCCGTGGACAAAGATCTATGAACCAACAGAGATATACATCCATCAAAAATAATTGACGTAAGATGCCTCAACTCAGCAGATGTAGCCTAGTATTATGTAAAATAAGAATAATCCTGAAATACTTTCTGCCCAAAAGAGCGGCGCCAACACAAACAAAAATCAAAGTCGAAGGACTAAATACGGAATCCACGGAATACTTATACAGGAAAAGAATATTAGGGAATATTGCTGGGTATGAAATATTAGAAAACGATAACGTCGCGGAAAGCTGGGAAAAACTTAAAAATAACATAATTAACGCAGCAACATAAGTCATTTGGAGAGAGGAAAGTAACGAACACTAACATATCAAAAAAGAAAATATCATGGTTTAAAGAGGAAGTAAAGACAAAATGTGAAGTTAAGAAGAATATTTTAGTTTTTACATTACAGAACACAACAAACTCAACAGGCTTACAACCACTATAAACGAATCAGAAATGAAACGAATAATTTAGTTAGACAAATAAAAAATGAACACTTGCAGATTTTCTCAAAACAGATGGAACACGACTTCTACGGAGCACAAAAAGAAATATGGAGAATGATCAGAGGACAAAGAAAAGAGATAAATGAACTAATTAAAATGAAACACATTCAAAAGAAAACATGCGTAGACTACTTTCGATTCCTATTTGCTAAAGGTGACGATAATGAGCCACCAACACCAGAGATGACGACAAACGTAGAAATAAATATAGAGGAGGAAGAGGTAAAGGAAGAATTAAGAAAATTAAAAAATAGAAAATCACCAGGAGAGGACATAATACCGAACGAACTCCTAAAGTACGGAGGACCAGATCTCAACAAACAGATCTCATTCAAAAAATAATAGAACAGAACAAAATTCCTCAAGGATGAAGATCAAGCATCCTAATACCCCTCTTCAAAAAAGGAGACTAATCGGAGCCGGAAAATTACAAAGGAATTAATTTATTAAAGACAACACTAAAAACATCGAAAGTGATAACAAACATATTAAATGAAATGATAACACTAGCAGAAGAACAACAAAGCTTTAGGTCGGGAAGACCATGCACTGACGCTGTATTTATAATAAGGAAAGTACAAGAGAAATCATTAGAATCCAACAAACCGGCATATCTATGTTTCGTAGACCTTACAAAGGCATTTGACCGGGTCAAATTAAAAGACGTTGTCCACTTACTCTACGCAAGAGAGATACCTCTAGGAATATCTACCAAACGATCGAAAATATCTACCAAAACAACATAATAAAAGTAAAAAAGTCCTCTATTGTTCAACCTGATTATGGATGAAATAATAAAAAAAGTAAGAACTAAAAAAAAGGATACTAAATGGGAGAAAAACAACTTAAAATAATCTGCTATGCAGATGACGCATTACTACTCTCTTAAAGTGAAGATGATGTACAACGTATGCTGCACCAACTTAATATAATAGTCAGAAAATTTAACATGTTAATTTCCCCAAAAAAGACAAAATGAATGGTTACAACAGCAAATTTACTAAGATGTAAATTGGAGCTGGAAGGTCAATTAATAGAACAAGTGATAGAGTTTAAATATCTAGGCACCACATTATCTAATTACGGAAAGCTCGAAAGCGAAGTGGAAGATCAAGTGAATAAAGCAAACAGAGCCGCAGACTGCCTAATAAAAACAATATGGAGAAATAAAAATATCGGGTAAGAAATGAAAGGCAGAATTTACAAAATAGTCATCAGACCAGTAATGACATACTCGACAAAAACACAACCTCACACAGACAGGACAAAAAGGATATTAGAAATAGCAGAAATGAAAACACTTACAAAAAATTGATGGCAAGACACTATGGGACAGAGCTAGAAGTACAGATATACGATGTAGGTGCAAGGTGAAAAATGGAAGTTAGGTACTGGGTAAAAAATTGAAGAGTAGAATGGAATGATCGTATAAGCCGAATAACAACAAATAGAGTAGTAAAGACGGCAAGAGACGGTTCCCCAATAGAAGGATAATCAGTAGAAAGACCACGAAAATGATGGAACGACAACTTACTGAAACAACTTACTGGAGGCACGTTGAAAAACAGACAGTCATGTCTATATAAAAAAAGAAGAGGATCTAAATGTTGGCAAACGACGATGAAAGGGAATAAAAAACTTAAAGTGTTCAGAATTAACACTATCTAAAAAGAGCGTGTCGGATATCCCGACTTATTCACATTCCAAATAAAGAAATAAGAAGAAGAACAGAAAGGATATACAATAACGTAGATACAATAGAATTAAAATCACTTATGGTAGCATGCAATTCGAATGGAAGACGAAAGATAACCAAAACAGCTCTTAAACCATGTTCCATGGAATTGAATGAGAGTAACACCAGCATTAGGTTAAAGAAGAGAAATCGGAGGAACAACGAGAGATAAGTTATAAATAAGGATCAATGGATAGACCGAAAGAGGTGGAGATCGAAATGCAGGCTGCAGCAGATATATTAAACCTAGAGCTAAGAATATTACTATTTTAGGAATTATTATTAAACTCGACAGTCTTCCGGGTTGCACCACGTAGATTTTCATTGTGTCGAGCTTTCGACATCCTCTTCGATGTCTTCTATAGGGTTTTTTAGGTCTCAGTTACTACTAAACTGATCACTAGTCAAAGATGCATTATGCATGCAATAAAATGTTGGAAATCAAGACATTCTAGAAATATATTATATATATATATATATATATACATATATTAATCTGTATATATATATATATATATATATATATATATATATATATATATATATATATATATATATATATGAAAATCACTAGGTTCTCGGGAAGAACCGCGTTGAGAATTTAATGGTCGACGTTTCGGCTCCCATTTTGGAGCCATTATCAAGAGGGATACGGTTCGGTTCGAGTTCGGGGTCTCAATTTGCTTACTCCCCTCAGACGTACCAGTATCGTGTTCTGTATTATAAATACAAGAATTGTCTCTCGGCACTGAGGTCGGAATCTGCCTACTCCTCAGTGTCGAGTGACCTCAATATATATATATATATATATATATATATATATATATATATATATATATATATATATATGGTAGATGACTAGAAAAATCATCATAGCATCCAGCAAACAACCTAATAAGGCCTTGAACAAACCAAACAATATTAATAGTTAAAAGCAATTAGATTAGTGCACTAAAAAAAGGATAAATGGTTGTAATATAAAGTGTAGAGAAAATATCGAAAATACAAGATAATTATAAAATACAATCAAAAGAACTGAAAAGGGAAGGGACACATGTCGAACTAGGAAAGGGAAGGAAAAAAATCAAGGAATAGAATAGAATAATTGGGATAAATAATGATTTTATATGAAAGGATTATCTGCTATAAGATAAAACAATGTAAGTATTAATTTCATAAAAATTTATTAGTGAGTTTCATAAAATGTACTGACAAATGTTAAAAATATTCACAGAAAACATAAAATATCCCATACATATGTGCTTTACTAACTTACGACTTTTTATTAAAAAATGGACTAGACACGCAAGCAAGCTTATAACATTTTCCTAAAAGTAATTAATATTTCAACAGAATTTACACTAAATTAGAGTTGATCTGATAAAGAAACTTTTACAATGTTAATTTAATAAAAATATATCAATAGGGATATTTTAAAACATATAAAAATCTTTTTCCAACTTATATAAATCCATTTTTGTGCATATGCTCAAGTATTACCAACGTTCTTCTCTCGATTTCATCTTCATCGCTGTCTTCCAAATGCGCCACGGATTCCCTCTTCTCAAGCTCAGTCAACATCAAATACAAATCCAGTTTGGCATCATCGTTGACTAATTTTGCTCTTAGAATTACCATTGCCATGATCCATCCAAATTTGCAGTAATCTTTCCACTCCTGGTTTAATTCCTCCAGGGAAATGAAGTCCTCGCATCCCATTAGCGTGCAGGTCTCAGTTAGATTCTTGTGGTATAATTTGAGGTAATAATCAAGATTATCTAAAACGTCTTTGCTTCCTCCCGAATAAATGCAATAGGACAAGTCGTAAACAGCGGATCCCACTTTGCAAGTTTGGAAATCTATAAATTTCAAATCTTCTAATTCACCAGTCTCCTGAAATTAAAAAAACAAACAATATAATAGAAGTTATTTCTGTTCATAGAAGGGAAACATACACATAATAGATGATTTTTTAATGAGTATAGGGGCCATGTGCTACCTTATATGAAAGTTGATAGTGATACAGTGACATTAACTTTTAACATAGTTATTTATATAGTGTGGTCAAAAATATTAAATTTTTAAGTTGAATACACAAAGTGTGTATGTAATTTATAAAATAGTCTACGCGGGATCCGTTTTGAATTGGATATTTTCCAAAGGACTCTATTTTTATGCTGGAATCACTTCAGGATGTACCTTGTATCAATAATCTTGATATGCGACAGTTGCAAAACTTGTGCTCAAGTTTTTATTTAAGAAAATCGGAAAAAAATCGAAAATTCTTGCGAGAGATATTAGCCCAATCTGCTTATGCAAAAATCATCGATTTCAGGGAAAAATTATTCGCCGATATCTGAAGCTTTTAAGATATAGGTGGGGGTTACTAGATGGCGAATAGATGAAAAGATACTCATATTTTTACCTTGCGTTTTTTTTTAAACAATAATTTATGATCACAATTTGATTCTTTGTCTATAAGTTTTTTCTCTTATATTTTAAATAAACAATATTTATATCATTTTTTTGTATCAAGAATATCTTTATTTTTCCGTTTTTTCAATTAAAATTGATAAATAATTTACGAAGATATTTGCAAAAAAGCAGTTTTTTTGCACTGATTTATAATTTTTATTAATTTTTTATTAACAATAAAATGTTATTAATACATTTAAACATCGAGGAATTACCGTCCTTTAAATTCGTGCGAAATTTCCTCCCGATCGGTCAAATAGTTTAAAAGTTATTTAATTTGTTTATCCCTGAGACTAATTATTTAAACTATTGAACTTGCCCTATTCATGATGCTAGATACATTTAGCAAATTTCATAGGATTCTTTAAGACTTAACCTATCTCAGAAGTTAAATGCATATTGCGTTTTCATCGAAATTATTTACGAAATAAACGTTTAAATAAGGGGTATGTTTTTTTACTTATAAACAATTGTAATAACCATATTTTTAAAACTACAGACTTGTACGTACAACCTTAGAATAGCTGGTAAAAAAACTCACATAAAAAAACCTTCTATGACCAATAGGAACGAAGTTAGCGACTATATCTCCATTGTTTTTACACACAAAGAAGTAAAATTTGCACAAATTTTAAATAGAAATCTAAACTTTATATTGAAACTTATAGCTATAAAATTCATCCAATTTTTTGAAACTTTTCAGCCTTTCGAAACGAAGGTACTTTCGAAAGATCGACATATGAAAGAGGAGGGGAAACTGTTTTAGCTCCATGCTCCAACATTTCGTCAGTCTCAGTGTAGTGGCTTTAGAAAGCAATATACTTATACTTCGTTGAGTAAAATATTTTGTGTATTTTAAATAAAAAATTTTAACTAAACGTATTTAATTACTTTTTGATTAAAAATTGTAAGTAATATTTAAAACTCCTAAATGAATAATTAATTATTTTCAACTTGTATAATCAGTGAAAAATATTATTTATTATTGATTATTTCAAAATAAACAGCAGACTGTGGCATTAACTTGTTCAAGAAGTAGTAGTTTCAAAGTAAGTATTTTCCTTTTTAATGTTTGTTTTATTAATGGCTAAATTATCGTTATGCAAGTTAAACCTTTGTTTTATTGCTTTTACTGTATTGTTTATAATCATAATTAAATTTCAACCTAATAAAATAATAAGTCTTTACAGATTTTAGAAATACGATTATGCTTGTTATAACTTTACATATTTTTAAAAGATTCGTTATATATAAGCTTGCAATATTCTGATTTTTCAATAATAATGAAAAAATCTTTTTTTGATTTATTTTAGACGTCTGAAACATATTTCCACTCAAAAGGAGCAGATCATTTTTTACTCTTTTTGTACTCTTTACGAGGTAATTCTTTAAAATTTTTGAATTTTATTTTTTTTAGACTTTTTTAATTCTTTAAAAGATTTCAGATATTTACAATTCAACAGAAATATCGGTAAATCATCTTTAAAACTAGAAACTCTGCCACCAACTGAAGGTGCAGCCAAACAGCATGTTCTTCGGGTTTACTATCAAATAAAGATGTGGTTAGGTAATAGGTAATAAGAGACAAAGTGCCACTGGTTTTGAACCAATTTATACTCTAAATAATTTAATTCCCGAAGAGACATTAAAGAACATTACATGCAAATGCATCACAGGTTGCAAAACGACTAGATGTGGGTAATTTCAAATGGACTCAATTTTTCCGAGGTTTCCCATATTTTCCGGCCAGTGAAAACTATGTAGTTATTTATATTTCGAAGAGCTATCCCAGAATAAAAAAGAGGTTTCCAGCTGCAATGAAAGCCGAGAAAATGTAAATTTTTCCTACGTGTTTTAATTTGAAGTTCCAATGTCGAAAAAAAAAAACGGAGCTGAAACAGTTATCATCTCCCCTTTCCTATATCGTTCTTTCGAAAGTACCTTCGTTTCAAGTTTTGAAAAATTTTATAGCTATAACTTTCAATATAAAGTTTAGATTTTTATTCAAAATTTGTGCAAATTTTACTTCTTAATGTTTATAAACAATGGAGATATGATTTTTTAAAAAATCAGTCACTAACTTCGTTCCTATTGGTCATAGAAGGTTTTTTATTTTTTAATGTGAGTTTTTTACCAGCTATCCAATGGTTGTACGTACAAGTCTGTAGCTTGAAAAATATAGAAGTTATTACAATTGTGTATAAGTAAAAAACATACGCCTTTTTCAAACATTTATTTTGTAAATAATTTCGAGAAAAACGCAATATGCATTTAACTTTTAAGATAGTTTAAATCTTAAAGAATCCTTTAATTTAATGAATCACCTACATATTCTTCCGTAACAAATCAAACACCATAATCCAATACATTTCCATCAAGAAAACAAGCAATTATTTTTGATGCAATTGAAAATACCAAACTAGATGATTACTTATCCGCTCTGAGTCGTCTGATACAACCAACCCAGATCATCTTCTGTTCAAAATTATCAAATAACAGAGTATGTATTTATTTAGCTAACGAAAAACTAGCTGAGGATTTTATAAACAGAAATGAAAAAATTCAAATAAACCAACAACTCTTACAAGCTCGTAGACTAATAAGCCCCAGTCAGCGATTAGTATTGTCCAATGTCTGTCCCTTAATCCCACACTCAGTCCTAATATCAGCATTAAAATCACATGGATTAAATCTTCTGTTACCTATAACATTCTTAAGGATAGGCACATCAACACCACAATTCCAGCATATTTTGAGTTTCAGGCGACAAACATACATATCTCCACTAAATAACCAGCCCTTACCTGATTCTTTTCTTATCACATATGAGGAAACGACATACAGTATTTTCCTATCATTAGATAACCAAGCTTGCCAAATATGTAAACAAACCAACCACTTAACAAAAAATTGCTTAATGTCTACTGCAATTACAACAGATAATTCAGCATCAAATAATCCAGTTCCAAATGTAGACCCAATTGAAAACACAACTAATCTATCAACTTAAAAAACCCAGGCACACACTAAACAACAACAATCAAAAGAAGAAAGCATACAACAAGAAACCCAATCACAAACTACCTGACAAGACACAAACCACACATGCAACCAACCAAAGACGATTCAGAAACAACAAACTACACAAAAATAGATCTAGAAAATAAGGCAACGCATATAAATACAGGTCGGTCAGATAGCTCAGCGGGCTGTGCGGCTGCCTCTCATTCGCTTCACTGTCGAATGGTTCAGTGGATGTGGGTCGAGCCCCAGCTCGGTGTACGGAAAACAAAAAGTCTAACGCAGCAGTTTAAAATTCTAGATGAATCTGCGGCTTAGACTAGGATATGCTGGGATCTGATCGGCCTATGGTGGAGCAGTACGGCAAGAAATAAGGGCTTGCGTCTCGGTGATACTCCTCCATAGATCCCTACCGGACGGGCGTAACGCCTAAAAAACCGGATATATATATATATATATATATATATATATATATAAATACAGGTAAGGCACAAAACAAACGCAAAATCTCCCAACTCTCTCCACCAGCTACTACATCTACAGAGGAACCTACTTTTATTACACCAAAAAAACAAAGAGAAGAAGGTAAAATCAGACAAAATGTCAAACCACAAAAAACGCTAGAAGAAATGCTTAAATACTGTAAAACTTTATTTGAGAACCCAAATTCCAACTACCCTATAACTTACGAACAGTTATTAGACTTTTTTGAAAACTGTGAGAACTCACCAGACCCGTTAAGTATCTCCAAAATGTATACAGAAGAAACAGCAGAGGTTACAGATCTATTAACTAATATATACCCTTAGCTAAAGTACCGAAAAATTAAAGTCAAATGCACTCGAATAAAAAATAAAATATTACAGCAAATCAACTTGGACCTTCAAACAGACTTAGAAAGCGACGCATCAACAGAAAATTAATAACACATCATTTTCAACTCTCTAATTCAATGGAATATAAATGGGTATTATACCCATTTAGAAATGTTAAAATTATTAATTTCAAAAGATAAACCTAGTACGATATGTTTACAAGAAACCAACTTCAAAAACAACAAAGCTCATGACTTAAAGAATTTCAACTGTTTCTTTAGAAATCGAAAAAATTCTAAAATTACAAGTGGAGGGGTAGCAATCTACATAAAAGATAGCTTTGACACTAAACCAATAAAATTCACAACAACTATAGAAGCAATTTGAATTAGAGTCACAGACACAATTTCTTTTTCAATTTGCAGTATTTACACTCCCTCCAATAAAGAACCCGATTCAAAAAAAAATTCAAACCTATTAAACCAACTACCTGCTCCATGGATAATAATTGCAGATTTCAATGCACATAATCCGTTATGGGGTTCAGCAAAACTAACATCTCTAGGTCGAAAAGTAGAAAAA